ATATACACACACAATAGCTAAATTGCAATGCAAAGGAATTGTTACCATAACAGCTAACTAGTAAATAACAGTAAACATTTTAGCTAACGTTAGTTGTTTATTACCTCTTGTCTTCTTTTTAGGCCCAAACCATTCTAGCTATTGGAAAGCCCTTTGTCTTTTCCACTTTCCAGTTAACGAAATGAAGCCGACAAAAATGTAACAATAATAGTAAAAATACTTAAAACATGTGAACAGGCTACATCCTCTATCAAGTATAGCTGTGATGACAGGAGGAAATTAGTCGTCATTATTTTCTCTATCCACTTTTACAACAAAAGCTAGCAAGGTGCCTAACTAGGCAGCGATGAGCAGATGCATGAAAGCCAGCAGTTGGGATGTATTCGGTTCCCTAAACTTGATCACGTGATCACGACGTTTTCTCAGGATTCGGATCATGAATACTATTTGAGAGGAAAGTTGTATTTTGTTATTGTGTTTGTAATAGATACATCAATGAATTAATGATACATTTACCAATTAAATTGTTAAAAGGAAGTTATTCTGAAAGCGTTCAAGGAATTTCATCATTTGATCCAGGTTTCTTCTTCTTCTTCAAATTTGTATTGGCGGGTCGCAACCAACTGAAAGGTGCTGCATACACCGCATGCTACTGTACTGGAGTATGAGACCGGTCACGGCCTCCTATTAATCTATTTCTCTTATATATCCCTGTGTTTCCGCCTACTATTCTGGAGAGTGAATTCATCACACAAAAAGGGAAGGGAAAAGGACGTGGAGCAGGGAAGAAAATGGCCCTACACGCATTAAAAAACCTCACCACTATTCCACTACTTGGCCCTATCTTACGGGACAGTATCGTTCAACACACCTTGGAACTCTTCTGCAGTAAAATCTCGTACACCCAAGTACTTATCTGCAGCTACCACCACAACATATATTTTCTGTGATTGACATTCCATTTCTGTGGTACAGCTGATAAACATGGCTATGAATGCTCAGAAACCAACCTTACTGAAGCACATGTTATTCCTATCACTCTCTATTGGCCTCAGCCTCCTCACGCCCTGTATCCATCTTCCTCTCCTCTTCACTGCCTCAGCATACAACACCTGTACTATGATCCTGGCAACCTTAACCTGCATTTCTCCCACCAGACACTTCTGATCATGGGTATCCCTACAGTTAACACATTTTACATTTACATTTTAGTCATTTAGCAGACGCTCTTATCAGAGCGACTTACAGGAGCAATTAGGGTTAAGTGCCTTGCTCAAGGACACAGACAGATTTTTCACCTAGTCGGCTCGGGGAATCGACCAAGCGATCTCTTGGCTACCTGCAGCACACACACAACTGTTTCCACCGATACTACATATTCCTTTGTCTCATGTCCTCCTGCACACTTCTCACATCTAGGAATCTCCCTCCTACACACTGCTGCAACATAACCATAAGCTTGGCACCTAAAACACCTTAATGGGTTCGGACAAAAGCTTTCACGGGATAACTGACACATCCTAATTTGAATTAGTCAGGTAAAGACTCTGCATCAAAACTCAGCAGGACAGACAGTGTCTTCTCTGTTTCACCACGCTTTCTACAGGGTCTGCGTCGCACCAAACAACAGGCGACACAGAGGATCTTCAATTTCAGTTGATCCTCCTCAACACTTAACATCACCCCAGTTATCACTCCTTTCAACAGCGCCCTGCTCCAGAGAGCAATACAAGTCACAGTTCTTGTCCCTAATCACGTGGTGGATGGTAGAAGCGCAAAAAATCATCAGGAGTCCACTTCGAGTCACTTTCACCGACCCAACAGTCCCCAACCTCTCCTCCACCCAGCATGACACCATATATGGATCAGCAAGACGGCAATAATACATTCTCTCCAAAAATCTCACTCCCACTGGGCCAGAATCATCTTCATCACCATCACCATCGGGACGAGGCTCGACCTCGGCCATCTTCACCTGCCACCGCAAGTAATTCATCAGGTTAAATTTCTGAGCTACCGGCGTACTTTTTTATTTATTTCTGTACTTGACGCCAATCTTCCTCGCCACACCACTTCCCTCTACACTCAGCTCCTTTCCTTCTTCCTCGCTGTCCATGTCCACATCTCCACGCTTTTTCTGCTCCTTCATCCACTGTAGTAGCAAACTGTTCAAATGGTTATTTTCTGACATTTTCCTCCTTGTTGTATCACCTCAAAAACCCTGCAAACATTCTAGTTGCAAGTCCCACACACCTCTGCAATGCTTCCTTGAGAGAAAACCCTGTGACCTCAAACTGGTCATAGGCTTCATGTTATGCAACTTGTATGTTTTCTGACCTTTAGGCCCATTGGAGTGCCATCCCACTGCTGACAAATTCCAGGGGTGGCCCGATCAGGACTCAAACTGAGGTCACAGATTAAAGGTATATTTACCCAGGGATGGCCCGATCAGGACTAAGTCCAACACATTATTGCAGTGTTGCCCAACAGCACACATTTTTGTTGTAGCCCGGACAAGCACACATGATTCAATTTGTCAACTAATCATCAAGCCGTAAATAAGTTGAATCAGGTGTTTTTGTCCAGGGCTACAACAAAAGTGTGCTGTTGGGGGTACTCAAGGACCGGAGTTGGGAAACATTGCCTTATGGCACTGTAGCCATTTTTTTTGCCAAGGTCGCTACAACATGATATTGCAGCGAATTTGAGTGTAACTTAAACTGTGACTTGGGCCCAGCGACTGTCAACCCAACACCTTAGCTGTTACGCCAAGAGATCCATTCACTACCCTCTACACTACCTGGCCCTTCGTATGGGAAAGCACCCCCCCCCCACACACTTCTCTATCATTAGCCCCATGCCCGGGCACACCTTCGATGGCCCTACAGCGGTGCAATCCCTTATGAAAAAAGATTGCAGTCAGATTGCAGTATAACTGCAGTATGCTGCTAATACTGCATCCAAAATACATATTTTTTACTACAGTGATTTTGCAGTGTAACTGCAGTTATTCTGCAATTAGTGTCCAAAATACCAGTTGACTGCAGTTACTGCAGTTTCAAAACTGCAATCTTTTTTTAAAGAGTAACACCAATGCATACAATTTACTACACTTTCTAAGGTACTCAAGTGCTCTAAATGGTTGACTTTGTTCCATCTGATGGAGAAAAACCCCCCATGAAAAACCCCAACAAGTGAAGACACTTGCAAATGCCATTTTATTCAAAAATTATTAAAGGATGTGGCACTAGGTATAAAAACAAAATAAATCAAAAGCATGACCAATTTACAGGGGGCAGGGAGATACATTGTCATGATCACACAGTTGGGCTTAGCCTAACAGTCCATGCTAATTTCCTAAAATGGCAGTTTATCAACAGTCCATAAAATTGTATATTTTCCCATTTATAATCATCTGGGGGGGGATACATTTTAATAATATCAAAAGAATCAATAACACGGTTCACACTACAACCAGAACCAAGCTGTACTGGGCTGGTTGTTTTGGGAATCGTACTGGGGGGGAAAAGTGAGCCAGCACAGTACAGTTCGGGTCAGGATGATAATGTGAAAAGGGTCATGATAGTGTGCAGCGTCTCATGCTGCAGGCCCCCCAAATGATGCATTACATATCTTTCAGTAGCAAAAGTAATATGCATAACAGTAGCTACATAGCTGTACATTTATGGAGTCACTCAAAAGCAATAGAAGAAAGTGAGGAAGTACAGCAAGTATGTAAAAAGCACATGCATTTCTCATTTTAAATCTAGACGAATTTACTAGCTTGTGATTTGAAATTAAGTTGAGATATGCCCACACTTTTTCACTGACTGTACAAGGGAGAAATGCAGGCGAGAAAATACGTTCTGTCAAACGGTAAATACAAAATTCCTCACTATTTGTCGGATTACATGTAATCAGTTAAATGTAATCTGATTTCAAAAATGTAACTAATCAGTTACGTTACCAGCAAAAATATTGTAATCAGATTACAGATCCTTTTGAAAAACTAGAGGAGTACTTTTAAATTCAGAAAGGATGTTGACACCTTTCTGTTCTCACTAAGCAGGTTTCCATCCAAACGTTTTATGCGAGTAAAGTACAAAAAAATATCACGACAGGCCTGATGGAAACAGCACATTTGTAGATAAACTTTCAAAATGTCAACAAAACTAAATGGTGGGATGATTTTGTGTCTATAAAATTAATTATGTGAGAAATGGCGGTGGAAGCGCATGTGTAAATATTGATTTAATAAGCATCATATCGAAGTAAATTTGGAGTCACGCGATGATATGGTGTGGTCCTCCCATTAAGCCTCGGGAAAGCATGCAGTTTATTAGACTACAGATAAAAAAATAAGTCATGATGACCTTCACAGGGTGGTGAAAGTGCAAGGTGATGTTGCTCCTTTCAATAAATATCGAGGGTCTTATTCTGGTGACATGATGACCGATGCTTGGCTGCCGTTTGACAAATTAAAATAATCTCGCTCTTTTGTCCATAATAATCTCATGTAGGCTATACCTGCACTGTATCTGCGAGCTGTTGGCTAGAGCGCACGTGCCAAGACCCGAGTGGGCACATTCGCTATATAACGCAATAGAGTTTTTTATTTTCTATTCGGTACATGGGAAATTAACCGCAAACGTTATTTTTATGTGAACTAGGTCATCACGCACAGGCTTTTATCCACAACAAGTCAATTTGATGAAAACATCTCTGGTGGGAAAATGACCAGATTTTATTTATGCAGATTTGTTAATATTCACATGAAAATCTGTCGCCAATTAGACTGAAACCTAACTAATGACATTCAATTTAGCATTTAAAAAATGCGCAAGTTTAAGTTTGCAAGTCTGATCACAAGTCAGAGACCACTACCATGACACACCAAATGCGTTTGATGGATCCCTTTTCTAAATGCCTCTTTAGGGGAAGTAAACAGATTACGTTACTGATTACAATTTGACAGGTAACAAACTAGTAATTAACTGATTACATTTAGAAAGTAACCTACCCAAACCTAATGCTCGTTAATTACAATTTACACCGTATACTTTGTAAGACAGCTCCTGAACAGCTACAGGCTCAGAGTGGAGCTCAGGTTAATGTCATGGTGGAACAGAATACAGCTCAATCTTCTTCATTTCTTTTTCTTTTTCTTCTTGGGAGGACCTTGATCTGAGTCACTGCCTTTTGATGAATCAGAGGCCGAGCTGCTTGAACTGCTGGAGGAAGAGGAGCTAGAGCTGTCAGCACTGTCACTACTGCTGTCACTGTCGTCCGACGAAGAGCTTGAGGAGTCACTACTGTCAGACGATGAGTCACTTGAAGAATCGCTGCTGCTACTACTACTACTACTACTTGCATCCCTTGACCTGAAAGCAAGTGGCACAATATACAAAACCATTATTACATAAGCAGAATAGTGAGTACATTGCAGAAGGCATAGTGCAGGCATAGCCTAGATCTCTATTGCATATAATAGAAAGGTGTATGGACTATGCTCTAGCCATTTGAGTTCTATCTGCAACCATCATAATGTTTGAACCATTTTATGGGGGTTAGAGCTAAAAAGTGACGCTGTGACAGTTACCTTTTCTTCTTTGTTTTTTTCTCATTGGAGCTTTCCTTTCCTGGTCTGAATAGTGAATATAGATTAAGATAGTTAAAAATAAATAAAAAATAATAGTTAGTAACAACATGCCTATATTCCTAAGATTATTCAAAACCAACCAGGGGAAATTAAAAGTGAAAAGAAACTCGGTAACACTATGAAAAATGTATGCACCATTTAACTGTAAGTCGCTCTTGATAAGAGCGTCTGCTAAATTACGTAAATGTAAATGTATTGAATCACTATACAGAGGAAATTAACTCCCAAATGAGGAGTTCTACTGTATATCCTCTAGATGGCAGTACTAGACAATTATGAAGTTGGGTTAGAGTACTACATTTACATTTAGCAGACGCTCTTATCCAGAGCGACTTACAGGAGCAATTAGGGTTAAGTGCCTTGCTCAAGGGCACAGACAGATTTTTCACCTAGTCGGCTCGGGGATTAGAACCAGCGACCTTTCGGTTACTGGCACAACGCTCTTAACCACTAAGCTACCTGCCGCCCCACTAAGCTAAGCTACCACTAGCCTTGTAAATACTGTCACAGACTAATTACAGCTGTATCCGTGTAGCAAACCATTCCTGTAAACTCAGGCAGGCTATTACAGTACATTGTACCCCTAAAATACTGATTTGAAGTCTTCAAAATTATGACTATTCAGCCTATTCAAAAGTTGAACTGACATCAAATGGTATACACCAGGGTCACGTTCATTAGGGTAAATGTTCTGCAATAGAAAATGAAAATCAGTGTTTCTTATTGGATATGCTCAGGTAGTAGGCCTACCTCTCCGTTTTACTATAGTGCAGCAGGTAGCTTAGTGGTTAAGAGCATTGTGCCAGTAACCGAAAGGTCGCTGGTTCTAATCCCCGAGCCGACTAGGTGAAAAATCTGTCGATGTGCCCTTGAGCAAGGCACTTAACCCTAATTGCTCATGTAAGTCGCTCTGGATAAGAGCGTCTGCTAAATGACTAAAAATGTAAATGTAAATATGCCATTTAGCAGACGATTTTATCCAAAGCGACTTACAGTCATGTGCGCATACATTTTTACGTATGGGTGGTCCCGGGGATCGAACCCACTACCCTGGCGTTACAAGCGACATGCTCTACCAATTGAGCTACAGAGGACCAAAACAATCTCCCTAATAGACACAACCAAGGTGACTTTCCAGTGTTAAAAACATCTTCAGAACTCAAAAGTGATCTACTGTCAAGCTGACTTAGCAAGACAGCACTCACCCAAAACAAATAAATACTTGTGGTTGACTTACCCTGTGGTGTTGACCTGTTTATTTTCATTTTCTTTCAGTTTCTTTTTCATTTCTGTTGTCCTTGATGGCCTGTGAAGGTATTTTCGTTTACCAGTGCACTCATACGTCCAGTGTCCAAACTCTAAACACTTCTGACACCGAACATGTTGTTTATTTGCCTCCCTGTATGAAGAAAATAGTTATCAATAACTGTAGGTAGGCTTAACTCAAACATTGTGTACCCCCCCCCCACCACGTTTATGGCCCCTTGCCCCTCACTACATTGGTAGCAATAGTTGGATAATCCCTGCTGTTTCTTGGGCCAATGGTTCCCCTGGTCAAATCAGGGTAAGTGCACAGTCAGGACAATTGTTCAGAAGAGTAGAGTAGCTTCCCTGACTATATCTGAGTTTTTAAAGCCTCTGTCAAGAGATCTTGAGACCAATGTAGCACAGGTAGTTGCTAGCTCAAGCACTATGCCTGTTCCCCAGTCGCTAGTGTTGTACTTGAGTAGTTTGGGAAAATGCTATACGGACACTCCTGACGTGCAAACCTCCAGAATTGATTAAAATTAGGTTAGGGTTAGCCTCAGAATTTGAGAGTGAAATACTTACACTCTCGTCTCTAACATGTAGGCTCAGCATTTCCAAACAGTCCCATTCCAAGTCAATGTTGAACTAACTAGATTTCAACTTACTTTATCTGTTGTCCAACCATTTTGTCTGAGACAAAATATCCACAGGGAAGCGTTATCAACCCGACCTTCAGTGTGCTGGTCTGTATATCGTTTTATCGCACGCGACAAACACTTGCACTATATGGCCCAGCCTAACCGAACATTGTCCGAAGCAATCAGCGGGTAAATATCATTCTATTCAACATTCTGGTTTCTAGAGACTCTTACATCTTTTTTTTTTAGACACTTCTTTCAGACTGAATATCCTAGGTGTAACCATGGTAACAGTCTGATGTTTAGTCAAGGTAAGAGTCTGTTTTATATTTTAGTTAATTGTTTTGCAGGTCAGCAGTTTTCTTGTAGTCTCTCCCAAGTAGTTTGTTAGCTAGCTAGTCTGATTAATCAGGCTGTAATACACAATGAATTGGTATACACAGCCTGAAACTAATGCTTGCAAAATCGTGCAAATGTTTCTTACAAGCCAGAATGTTTAATAAAATTAAATGTAAACTTACTCTACCAGTTGTTTGTCCTTCAGCTGCTCAGAAATTGAGACAAAATATCCACAGGAAAGTATTGTTTACCCAACTGTTTAGAGAGCCGGTAGGTACAGTGCCTTCGGTAAGTATTGAGACCCCTTGACTTTTTCCACATTTTGTTACTTTACAGCCTTATTCTAAAATTGTTTTCCCCCCCTCATCAATCTACACACTATACCCCATAATGAAATGTTGCTACTTTATTACAAATAAAAAAACGGAAATAACACATTTAGTAGTATTTAGAAGTATTCAGACCCTTTACTCAGTACTTTGTTGAAGCACCTTTGGCAGCGATTACAGCCTCAAGTCTTCTTGGGTATAATGCTACAAGCTTGGCACACCTGTATTTGGGGAGTTTCTCCCAATCTTCTCTTCAGATGCTCTCAAGCTCTGTCAGGTTGGAATAGGAGCGTTGCTGCACAGCTATTTTCAGGTCTCTCCAGAGATGTTCGATCGGGTTCAAGTCCGGGCTCTGGCTGGGCCACTCAAGGACATTCAGAGACCTGTCCCGAAGCCACTCCTGCGTTGTCTTGGCTGTGTGCTTAGGGTCGTTGTCCTGTTGGAAGGTGAACCTTAGCCCCAGTCTGAGGTCCTGAGCGCTCTGGAGCAGGTTTTCATCAAGGATCTCTCTGTACTTTGCTCTGTTCATCTTTGCCTCGATCCTGACTAGTCTACCAGTCCCTGATGCTGAAAAACCTCCCCACAGCATGACGCTGCCCCCCCCATGCTTCACCGTAGGGATAGTGCAAGGTTTCCTCCAGACGTGACGCTTGGCATTCTGGCCAAATAATCTTGTTTCTCATGGTCTGAGAGTCTTTAGGTGCCTTTTGGCAAACTCCAAGCGGGCTGTAATGTATTTTTTACTGAGGAGTGGCTTCCGTCTGGCCACTCTACCATAAAGTCCTGATTGGTGGAGTGCTGCAGAGATGGTTGTCCTTCTGGAAGATTCTCCCATCTCCACAGAGGAACTCTAGAGCTCTGTCAGAGTGACCATCGGGTTCTTGGTCACCTCCCTGACCAAGGCCCTTCTCCCCCGATTGCTCAGTTTGCTGGGCAGCCAGCTCTAGGAAGCGTCTTGGTTGTTCCAAACTTCTTCCATTTAAGAATGATTGAGGTCACTGTGTTCTTGGGGACCTTCAATGCTGCAGAAACGTTTTGGTACCCTTCCCCAGATCTGTACCTCGACACAATCCTGTCTCTGAGCTCTACGGACAATTCCTTCGACCTCATGGCTTGGTCTTTGCTCTGATACGCACTGTCAACTGTGGGAACTTATATAGACAGGTGTGTGCCTTTCCAAGTCATGTCCAATCAATTGAATTTACCACAGGTGGACTCCAATCAAGTTGTAGAACCATCTCAAGGATGATCAATGGAAACAGGACGCACCTGAGCTCAATTTTGAGTCTCATAGCAAAAGTCTGAACACTTATGTAAATAAGGTTTTGCTGTTTTTTTTATTTGTAATACATTTGCTAAAAATTCTAAAAACCTGTTTTCGTTTTGTCACCATAGGATATAGTGTGTAGATTGATAAGGGGGAAAAAATAATTGAAGGTGCTTCAACAAAATACTGAGTAAAGGGTCTGAATACTTATGTAAATGTGTTATTTAAGTTTTTTTTAAAATAAATTAGCAAACATTTCTAAAAACCTGTTTTCGCTTTGTCATTATGGGGTGTTGTGTGTAGATTGATGAGGGAAATGTTTTATTTAATCCATTTTAGAATAAGGCTGTAACGTAAGAAATTGTGGAAAAAGTCAAGGGGTCTGAATATTTAACATTTACATTTTAGTCATTTAGCAGACGCTCTTATCCAGAGCGACTTACAGTTAGTGAGTGCATACATTTTTCATACTGGCCCCCCGTGGGAATCGAACCCACAACCCTGGCGTTGCAAGCGCCATGCTCTACCAACTGAGCTACAGGAGGGCTGTATATACTTTCCGAAGGCACTGTATATGGTTTGGTATGGAGGTAAAATTAGTTTTATATTGGACATTCGTTTTTCTCACGCCAATAGCTATTGAACCAAGCATGCCATGACAATTTTATATTCTGAATCAGGGGAGGATGAAGAACAAGCGGCATATTTTTGTGTGAATTTATTTTACTTATTCGGATTTCAATCTTTAAACGAAAAATCTACATGTCATATAATTTGACTGTTCTCCATCAGAGAAAATAAAGTCGGGTGAACAATACTTTCCTGTGGATATTTTGTCTAAAATTCACTTTTAGTTAGCTAGCAAGCAAGTTAGCTAGATAGCTAACGTTAGTTAAGGCATACTACGTTCGATTTGCTCCTAGCAGAACTCAGCTAGGCAAAGTGAATGTCTGTGCCTCGCATACTACCTAAAGACCTTCGCTTGAAAAATATTACTGTGTCCCTCAAGACGCCGTAGCCAGTATACACTTTACATTTTTACATTTTAGTCATTTATACACTTCCATGAAATAGTCAGAATGAATCTAAGATAACTAAAGAAATCCGTAATTTTTATGTTTTTGCCGAGAAGCTCTTAGTCACTCAATTTTACATCTAACTAAGATGTTTGGTGCAGTATTTCTCAAGCGCATGAACACCCCCCTCGAGCATCCCATTGGTTCCTGCATGAAACCCCCACTGCAGGAAAACTGTGCCCAACAGGTGGGCAGTGTTGCCAACTTAGCGAGTTCTCAGACCCCTCTAGTGACACATTTTCAAAAAAGCAACTATCGACAAATCTAGCGACTTTTTCTGGTGTTATTGGAGACGTTTGGAGACTGACGTGAAAGCACGTATCGTTCTTACTCTTCTCAACAAGCAGCGGGTGCTTTGTTACCCCAGTCCCAAAGCACTCACAGGCAGCCCAGTCCTCACGCAGAAGTCCCTCCCAGCTGCAGTCAGAGCAGGAGATGTTCACCCCTCCGCGTCCAGACTGCAAATGAATTGCGCATGCGGGAAGCCGCCGCTGGCTGATTCCGCCGGCCTTACATTCAGGGCGGGATGTAAATGTTGGGTGTTTTTTACTCACTTTTTGTCCCTCCCACGACATTATTGCTCTCTCCTACAGCTTCCATCACAATTACATGCACATGTCCAATTATGCAAATTAGGCTATGACGTCATTTAGCGACTTTTAGGACAGCCAATAGCTACTTTCCTTACTGAGGAGTTGGCAACGAAGGACACTGTCTACCTACCGGTCGCTCTAACTAGCACAGCAGGCGGGAGCCTCGGGCGACACCATGTGCTACCTAGCTTGTTAGCGACACATGAGCTAGTTTGCTAGCACACGGTGTGTAGCCCTCGCCTTCTGCCTGCTGTGAACCCGGAGAAAACCGTGCCTGACAGCACAGCAGGTAGGAGGCCTCCCGTGTAACGGACTAGCTGGCTAAACTAGTGTCCTTCGCTTCCGCCTGCCGAACACTTGCCCTCGCTAACAAAACTGCGGGAAACCAATGCCTGACAGGCGGGGACGAAGGACACTGTCTACCGGTGTACGGCTAGCTAGCTACCATTGTCGCCCCGCCCCTTCTTCTGTGGGATTTATCGCAGCTTGTATCCAACATTATTGTGCATTAATGCCACCTACTGTACTGGTGCACCCACGCCTGTCCTAGCTTAAAAATGGACCAATAGATATAACAGGTGTTCCGAACGCCCCAAATTGCAGGCCTCTACGAACAGCCGGAAAAAAAACATTGACGAAGACATTAAAGTCACCATACAGTTCGTGTATTTATGACCATTTCGTCATAAATACACGAACTGTTTCGGTTGGGAAGCTTACGGACGCTTTTACCCAGCTAACGTTAGCGCTAGCTAACTTATGTGGCGGCTATCCAACGTGCAGACAGTAGGATATGTATGCTTGTTTGCCAAATAAACGTATACTATTTATTAAATGTAACCATTTAGTTTGTTAACTTTGTACATCATTATTGCCCACATCTCAAACAACTGAACAACTTTGTAGGTACAGTAGCTAGCTAACG